AGTACCTGCATTCTCGTGTTATTTCTGAATTTGTAATCAATAAACTCTTTCTTGATTATTGTTAAACTTAAAACCTGAGTCAAATGCTATTTTTGGTTTTGAGTCCCTTTCTTTTTAAATCAACCTCTCCTGTTTTCCCCTCAGAGAAAGCCCTTGATTATATACAGCCATTGGTGGAGTAACAAGCTTTTTATTGATTTAAAAACAGCCTGATAATATTTTAAATAACTAGAGGGTTCGTGATTTCTTTAGTTTGGTGGCAGCGAAAGTTTTACACAACGTGACATCCCCTCAAACCCTACAAAAGCCTTTTTTGAGTTATTATAATTGGTAGTGTCAGAGGTGGGATATTGATTTATCACCCATACCTCTAAAGACCTTTATAATTGGTGAAGAGAGGTGGGATTGTTTGCCCCTGCCCAGACGGCCAATTAAAGGGAAGTCCTTGATACCATCCATCCATCTTGCCCTTGGTCGGCCCCTCTTCCTTTTGCCTTCCACTTTCCCCAGCATAATTGTCTTCATTATTATTATTATTATTATTATTATTATTATTATTATATACAAACACAAAACACATATTCAGACGAGGCCACAGCAACGCGTGGCAGGGGACGGCTAGTCTATCTATATAAATAAAAATGTAATGTTCATTTGTGGGATTAACATAACTCAAAAACCACTGGATGAATTGACACCAAATTTGGACACAAGACACCTATCACGCCAATGAGTGACTATCACTCATAAAAACACTGAAAAACACAGCGGAAGGGACTTAAAAAGCCAAAAAATGAAAAATACATTACAACACATGCACAAAACCACATATATATACCCAAACATACATATATATATAGACACACATACACAAATATATACACACACAAAACACATATACAGAACTGGGCCACAGCAACACGTGGCAGGGGACAGGTAGTCTATCTATATAAATAAAAATGTAATGTTAGTTTGTGGGATTAACATAACTCAAAAATCACTGGACTAGTTGACACCAAATTTGGACACAAGACACCTCTCAGGCCAAAGAGTGACCATCATTCATTAAAACACTGAAAAACACAGCGGAAGGAGCTTAAAAAGACAAAAAAGCAAAACAGATGCTACAGCGCATCTGCAAAAACAACTCCCCCTGGCCAAAAAAAACACACACACACACACAATAGCATATCCACACTCTCTTCCAGACAACATCTCCCAGCATCTCCTAGACAAGGCCCTTTAGGAGAGGAGGATGATCCAAATGCACTGCTTCCAAGATGTAAAGTTTCTTCTCCTTGGATTTCTTTGAGAGCATCCCAATCCCTGCATATTTCCAATTTCTTATTCCTGGACTGCAACTCTCAGCAATCCTCCAGATAGATAGATAGATAGATAGATAGATAGTAGGTAGACTTCTGTGTACGAACCCACACGATCTCTTCGATCATCTGGAGAGGCCCTGCTCGCACTCCCACCTCCTTCGCAGGTGCGATTGGTGGGGACGAGGGAGAGGGCCTTCTCGGTGGTGGCCCCCTGACTCTGGAACTCACTTCCCAAGGACATCAGACATGCCCCAACTCTGGCAGTCTTTAGGAGGAGCCTGAAAACGTGGTTGTTCCAGTGTGCCTTCCCAGAATAAGGAAACCCACAGCAATATGTCCTCCAAATGCACTTTATTACTGACTTAGGATTTACTGCACGCCCCCATCCCTCTCTGAAAACCCTATCCCAGTTGTATCTTATCTGTTCATACCCAGCATTATTTTTTAAATTTTAATTATTACATTTTGCCCAGCCATAGGTTTTTAAACTTTTTGTTATGCTACTGTCAATGTTTATTGCTTATTTTTTGTTTATGAGATTTAACTGTTTTGTATTGTTGTTTGTTATTGCTTTGTTATTGATGTATTGTGGGCTCGGCCTCGTGTAAGCCGCACCGAGTCCCTTGGGGAGATGGTAGCGGGGTATAAATAAAGTATTATTATTATTATTATTATTATTATTATTATTTATTATTATGGAGCCCCTGGTGGCGCAGTGGGTTAAACCCCTGTGCCGGCAGGACTGAAGACCGATAGGTCGCAGGTTCGAATCCGGGGAGAGGCGGATGAGCTCCCTCTATCAGCTCCAGCTCCTCATGCGGGGACATGAGAGAAGCCTCCCACAAGGATGATAAAAACATCAAAATCATCCAGGCGTCCCCTGGGCAACGTCCTTGCAGACGGCCAATTCTCTCACACCAGAAGCGACTTGCAGTTTCTCAAGTCGCTCCTGACACGACAAAAAATATTATTATTATTAATCAGGAGGACTGCTGGTAGTTGAAGTCCAAGAATAGGTAGAGAAGGAAGAACGGGGAGAAAGAGGGAGGGAGGGAAAGAAAAAGTGAAGTAGGAAGGGAAGAGGAAGAGAAGGAAGGAAGGAGAGAAAGGAAGAAGGAGAGAAAGAGGGAAGGAAGGTTGACCACATCAACGCATGGCGGGTACAGCTAGTAATAATAATCATCATCATCGTTTATACCCCGCCACCATGCATAAATATGTGGGGAGAAGTCACATTGAGTTGGGAGCAGCTTTGTTTTCTACCAGCTGTTAGGAATGTAGGGAGTTGAAGTCCAAAACACCTGGAGGGCCCAAGTTTGCCCAGGCCTGCTAAAGAATGACTACGAGATCCATCAGTGGAAAACATCTCATTAAAAAAGCATACCGTAGTGGGACTTTAAAATATGTAAGTTGAAAGGCATCAAGCATATCGGAGAACGTTTGCTCTGCTACTTCCTTCGCCTGCAAAGAGAAACAGAGAAGAAAAAGGACGTCAGCGCATCTCCAGGGTTGACGTATGGATTGTATGGAACACAACAACATAACAATGGCACAGATCTGAAGAGTGTTTGGGCTCCAATTTGCTCCAGAAATGACCCCTTATACTACTTTAAGGGCCACTGCGACCGGCATGAATGACGGACCTGGACCAAACTTGGCACACATTACCCCAATGACTCACTTTACGTCCTGGTGCGGTTTGGGGGAGGATGGACCACGGATAATGGGATTTGCAGTACTTTCATTCGCTTCGACTCCCATGGACACTGTGATGCCCACCAATGACAGATCTGGACCAAACTTAGCACACAGAGCCCCCATGAGCCACTCTACATCCTGGTGCACTTTCGAGGAGGATAGACCATGGATGATGGGGCTTCAAGTGCCTCCACTCCCTTCCCAAGACTGCTGCAACCCTCATCTAATGACCGATCAAGACCAAACTTGGCACACAGAGCCCCCATGACCCACTCTACATTCTGATGTGGTTTGGAGGAGGATGGACCATGGATGATGGGACTTGGAGTACTTTCACTCACTTCCTGAGACTACTGTGATCCAAACCAATGAAGGATCAGGACCAAACTTGGCACACAAAGCCCCCATGACCCATTTTATGTCCTGGTGCAGTTTGGAGGAGTACAGACCATGGACGATGGTACTTGCAGTACCTTCACTCACTTTGAGTGACCACTGCGCCCCACACCAATGGCTGATCAAGACCAAACTTGGCACATAAAGCCCCCATGACCCACACTACAATCTGGCGTGGTTTGTGGGATGACAGACCATGGACGATGGTACTTGCACTACCTTCACTCACTTTTGAGTGACCACTGCACCCCACACCAATGACTGATCAAGACCAAACTTGGCACATAAAGCCCCCATGACCCATTTTACGTCCTGGTGCAGTTTGTAGGAGTACAGACCATGGACGATGGTACTTGCAGTACCTTCACTCACTTTGAGTGACCACTGCACCCCACACCAATGACTGATCAAGACCAAACTTGGCACACAAAGCCCCCATGACCCACACTACAATCTGGCGTGGTTTGTCGGATGACAGACCATGCACAATGGTATCTGCAGTACCTTCAATCACTTTGAGTGACCACTGCGCCCCACACCAATGACTGATCAAGACTAAACTTGGCACACAGACCCCTCCCATGACCCAAATCCTGGTGAAGTATGGATGATGATGGATCATCTACAAAGGGGTTTGAATATGAGATTTGTAGTTCGCCCATACTCACTGAACCAGCTGATCTAGATTCAATTTGGATCAGAGACAAGCAATGCCTTTCTCAAATAACTTGGGCACCGACAGGTTCCCAAGCTTGTTTATAATAAATAAGGAATGTTAATACCTTACTGGCATTGGATGTTTTTGAATAGGAATCGATACCAGCCAGGACAGCTTCGACAACAGCAGCATAGATCTGAGACAGAAGCTTACTAGAAAACAATGAAAAACAAAATTATGATGATTATTGAGTATTTTTAATGAATAAGACTTTTAATACAATCCAAAATTACTTTTAGGGCAGGCAGAAGAAAAGTAAAATTCAAAGAACAACAGTAGTAGAATTTGAACTGAGTCTTGTGATATTATTCGGCACAAGATTTTGTGTCTTGTTGAAGGCTTTCATGGCTGGAATCACTAGGTTGCTGTGAGTTTTTTGTGATGTCTGGGATCGTTCCAGAAGCATTCTCTCCTGATGTTTCACCCACATCTATGGCAGGCATCCTCAGAGGTTGGGAGGTCTGTCTCTAGTTTTTCCAATCTGTGTGTGTCTTGGAATAATTTCTCCCTGTAGGGATGTTCAATGTGTTGTTGAAGGCTTTCATGGCTGGAATCACTGGGTTGCTGTGAGTTTTCCGGGCTGAGTGGCCATCGTTCCAGAAGCTTTCTCTCCTGATGTTTTGCCCACATCTATGGCAGGCATCCTCAGAGGTTGGGAGGTCTATTGAAAACTAGACAATGAGGTTTATTTATTTATTTACAACATTTATATACCACCCTCCTCACTCCAAAGGGGACTCAGAGCAGCTTACAAGATATATATACATGCAATACATTATATTATTAGCATAATACAATATCAGTGTTATATATTACTATATTGTACTATACCATTATATTGTAATATATATTGTATGGGGCTTCATTGCAACATTCACACCTGTCTCAAGCAGGCAAGAGTTCTTTCTCCCACCCTGGACATTATTCCATAGATAGATGAACCCCAGTTGCTTAGTTTCCAACAGACCTCACCATCTCTGAGGATGCCTGCCATAGATGTGGGCGAAATGTCAGGAGAGAATGCTTCTGGGACATGTTAAGACAACCCGGAAAACTCACAACAACCCACAAGACTTCTTTACAGATAAATCTTGTGCTGAACAATATCACAGAGAAGCAAGTATACTTCACAATATACTTTTACAAAAACAATTGAGAAAAATTTGCTCATACTCTTAACAGTATTAACTTGCCAGCAAGAATTTGCAACAGTGAGATACAGACAGAAAAATTTTAAAAAATCAACTTACACTTGTTCACCTTTCTTTTCCACTTCATTATCGTTGCCTGTTGAATATTAAGAGTCGAATATTGGAATATTATTTAACGCTTTTTGAACATTGCTTTTGAATGCTACGTTTGGACGCTGTATCTTCTTCCTGCCTTTAAATGCCTGATTGCTTTTTGGAATCTTATCTATCTTTACAAGCATTTACTTCTACTGGCTTTTTTTGCTAAGCTTTAATAAAAAGGATTGTTCCTTCACTCATAGTCAGAGGGGCTCTGGAGTGAGACACTGTGCCACAGGGAGGTGCTGTCGTTCCATCTCCTTGACTAAGAGCATTTTTCCTCCTTTTTCTGATCCTTACACTGTGCCTAAAATGCCTTTCTGCTTTAATGCAGTTCTTATTTCTCTACTCACATATTTGTTTTCGAACTGCTAGGTTGGCAGAAGCTGGGCTGAAAGGTCAGGTGCTCGCCCCAACCTGGGCTTCGAACTATCAACCTTCTGGTTGGCAATATTTATTGCAGCTTAGTGATTAACCTGCTGTGCTAAAGCCCGGCCCAATAGAGTCAAGGTGAAAGGTAGCTTTACCTTTACAATTTCAATACTCCACTTTGGCAGGAAAAACAAAATGCAAAGATACAGAATGGGGGACGATGCCTGGCTTGAGAGCAGT